GGGGACTTCCCTTCCTGCACCGAGTTCACAGCTGGCAGACAGATTCCAGTGACTGACTGGACCATTCTCTTCAGCAGCACCTGGCCCTACAGTCAGGGTCCCCGGCTGTTGGGCCTCCCTCAGGTCACACACGAGTCATTGTCAGAACGATCCATAGGGTGAGTTACTTACGGTGGGAAGTGTATCCATGTCATACCCGTATACTGTATGTGTCCGGGAGTCATTGTCTACTAACGTCAATATAATGATCTATTAATGTGTCCCTGCCATTCACTTAACTAATAAATAGCTGTACTTAGAATTGTTGTTCAGAAGATTTCGCCGAAGATTATATAATGGAAAGTCAAATAACTATTCGGCCGCGTTATCAACTTTCCTCACTTTAACAATCCTATTGCTATAGATACTTCCTGTATCTTCTTAAGTGAGATTTCCTTCATTACACTGTAAAAAGAAGTAAAACAAACTAAAAACTACTGTTTTTCAGCAAAAACTGAGTTTTCCATAAGAAAGAACTTATAAGAAACAGTGTTTTTAACAAACTAAAAACAGAGTCTGAAAGCAAAAAAAGAAAGGGTTTCCATGAACATAGGTTGTCATGATCGTGATAACGGCTAACCTGAAAACCTTAAGGATTCATATTACGCTCGAACGTCCACAAAACCTTCCGAGTCCCCCAGTGGAAACGTCCCCCGTTTTCTCTGTTTCCTTGATGACGTCATCGATAGGCCGTCTTTGTCTAAAGGGAACTTTGAATATAATCCGCAGATTTCGTAGCAAGACGCTGTATGTTGGGACCTGTTGCCATCCAACCCTTTGTAATCAATTTAATTTTGCTTTTGATAGCTCAGCCAGAGCATTGTTAGTGAGGATAATAGTAGGGAATGAAACTGAGTTCATAGTCTCAGTTTCAACGTCAGAGTGTACAGTAAATTAATTCATCGAAACAGAAGAAGGTGGACTCCCTGACCTATTTTGAGTGAGGGTGCCGCGGGCATTTCAACCGTTAGTAAGTGCTCGCCCCTTCATCCATACAGGTAGGCCATTCCACTCTGTGTTATAATTCGCCCTTCTTTAAGTGATTTGACCCAATTAATAGTTGATTGTGCAGGTGTTACAGTAACGTAGTTGATATGTTCTGAGTGAAGTAATATTTACGTCTTTAACGTCCCCTGAAATGTGATGTCGTTGTCACTGTTAGTAAGTGCTCGCCCCTTCACCCATACAGGTCCCTAACGCAGCCTAGGCCGTGTCTGTAGGGTAGATGTTGTATCCACTATGTCTGGGGAGATGTCCGAGGTCCCGTAGGATCAGTTACCTTCGTGAGACCCAGCCGTCAGACACTTCAGACTACCTATGGCCCCCATAGCTGGCTCGTCTGGCCCTAACGCTCGGCCTGCGAGGTGACCCCGGATCACCATGCCACACACCACTACCAGTCCCCATCATTGATGGATGAGTGTCTAACTCAGTAGGGCTATTTGTATGGTGGGGTTAATCCACTGGGATCTTCAGAGTTCGTCGGAAAGTACCCCATGGTGGCAGGACCCCATGGCGGTTGCTTGAGTATCACTCCTGACGACTGAGTGTTGTAGTGGCAGTTGCCCCTGGTCTTTATGGTGCTAAGTGACTATAAGAGTTACGTGTTATTGAGTATGTCCACCCAGTAGTGGTGGGAGTGTTATTGAGTTATTGAGGGCATAGTACCAGATTTCGTCTGTTGGTACATATATATTCTTTCTCCTACATCCATATTAATGTTTAAATAAATTTTATATTTGTATATTGTGTCTATTATTTACCTAGAGTATCTACCGTTATTTCTTCCCTATTACTTGATACTATCATTACATATACCCACGAGCCTCCTCTCGTCACGCTACCAATGATAATAAGTATGAGAGTAAAAGGAATTGTTACTGACATACAGGCCCGTATAAATGGAGGCAGCGCAGGCCCTTATAAGGTAAAATCCGTTTATAAAACATATCACACACCAAATATGACTGTTCTCAGCTTGCATGGACAGTCTGTTAGGTGCCACATGGGAGATTCAGATATTGTGTATTAATATCTGCAATTGAAAAACAAAGCAAATGACCTATTCATATATTCACATACCTGATAATGGGCCACCCACTCCTGTAGCTCGTTGGCGAGGGAAGAAAGAACTGGAAGACCTGCCTCCCAAAACTTCAGCTTCGGACATTAAAGCAATTCATAGTGTTAACTGGCAGCAGGGAAAATATTGCTTGGCTCAGATAAGTGTCTTTAGTTTTGATCTTGTTTTCATCTCAGAGATAATGTTGTAGTGGACGTCTCCCCTACAACTGCGTATCCGCATTCCAATGCGACAGTATCCTAGCAACTAAACGAGCGGTCCAGGGGGGGGCGTCACCAGCTGCTACTGTATCCTAGCAACGAGTCGAGAAACCGGCGAGTTCCCACGGGTTTACTTCCGGCTGCTGTGTATATAAGCTCTGTCTCTCCATTAAGATTCATTCTGGCCTCGGTTCCTGAACACGCAACACCTCCTCCAAGCAAGCTCCTCGCTGTCCAGCTCTCATTCAACCTGGAGGCCAGCAACAGGCAACATCTCCTCTAACGAAGCTCCTGCACATCTACCTCCTTCAGCACGCTACTCACCGAACATGTCTACTGAGCAGCTCCTCACCACATGGCACCTCCAGCACCAGACTGTCTTTCATATAACTTATATTATATAAGAAAACCACCACCTTAGAGTTTCCATCAATCCCATCCTGAGTGCTAGACACATAATATAACGTAACCCTACAAATGATGACTCCCGGAGATTCGCACTCACACAGGATGGAGGAGAAACTGATCACGCTCCCAGTCTTCAAGCAATATGGAAGACTGGCTTATCCACACAGAAGCAGCTCTCATCGGCTCTACAACTACTGTCTCTACAGCGCAGGTTAGACACCCTAAAGCAGACACCAGCTCCTCTTCCTGCCCCAAGCACCACGTCCTACCGACCCCAGCACACCCGTCCTGCCTCAGACGCCGACCCCGGCCCAGCAGTAATCCTTGCCGCCCCTGACGCGGCCTCTGTTCCTGAGTGCGGACCCACACACAGCTCTTTTCTCCCTCAGGTACTCCCTGCTAATGCCCTGCACCCTGCTGCTGTCGTGGACCCAGCTGCTGTCACGAGCCCTCATCTGCTTCTGCTGACACAGCCCCTGCTCCTGACCCAGGCCCACACACCCCAGCAGGTGCATCTGACGACTCTGTACCTGCCGTGAGGGAAGCACAACATTCATCGCCTCCACACACCCATCTTTTCTCCCTCAGGTACTCCCTGCTAATGTCCTGCACCCTGCTGCTGTCGTGGACCCAGCTGCTGTCACGAGCCCTCATCCGCTTCTGCTGACGCAGCCCCTGCTCCTGACCCAGGCCCACACACCCCAGCAGACGCATCTGACGACTCTGTACCTGCCGTGAGGGAAGCACACCATTCATCGCCTCCACACACCCTTTTCTCCCTCCCTTCTCCCACAGATAGTGTGTATATAGACAGTTGTATCCAGCAACCGGCTCATCCGCGCCATCGACGTTGTCTCACATGAGGCATGCACCGCCCGTTCTGCCTCACATGTGCTAAGCAACTCTGCAGACAACAAGTCTCCTACACCGCATGGAGGGAAGGGGGAGTATTGTAGTGGACGTCTCCCCTACAACTGCGTATCCGCATTCCAATGTGACAGTATCCTAGCAACCAAACGAGCAGCCCAGGGGGGGGGCGGTGTCACCAGCTGCTACCGTATCCTAGCAACGGAGTCGAGAAACCGGCGAGTTCCCACGGGTTTACTTCTGGCTGCTGTGTATATAAGCTCTGTCTCTCCATTAAGATTCATTCTGGCCTCGGTTCCTGAACACGCAACACCTCCTCCAAGCAAGCTCCTCGCTGTCCAGCTCTCATTCAACCTGGAGGCCAGCAACAGGGAACATCTCCTCTAACGAAGCTCCTGCACATCTACCTCCTTCAGCACGCTACTCACCGAACATGTCTACTGAGCAGCTCCTCACCACATGGCACCTCCAGCACCAGACTGTCTTTCATATAACTTATATTATATAAGAAAACCACCACCTTAGAGTTTCCATCCATCCATCCTGAGTGCTAGACAACATAATATCACGTAACCCTACAATGTAATCAATGAAAGGGATTGTAACATTCATTTTGAAATGTTCCTGAGTGGAACTTTCTGCAGCATTAGCTCTGTATTGTTGCCTTCCACTTCCAGGGCTGGGCAAGAATCGTTAAAATTGGAATAGACAGTTCCGATTCTCAGTGCCAATGGAATCGCTGGAATCGATTCCTCAAAGTAAGCAAATACTGTCATATAGTTATAGGGGGCAGCAAAAGGCCTCCCTCAGGGGACTGCTAATCTCTGTCATGTCATCACTGCTGTCTTGGAAGGACAGCATGTAAATGTATTAAATATTTAAATTTTATTTTATTTGGGGAATACAATAAACTTAAGAAAGTAATGAAAGATGTTTATTTCTTACTTCTTTAGTAGGTCAAAGATTTTTGTTGTAATTACCAAAATCTAATTTCCTTTAAAAAATAATATCAATAATTTGGAAATAAACATATAATTCTTATCTCTTTACTTTACAGAAATATAATTTTCCTAGTGAAAAGTAATGTCAATCATTTTGGAAATAAATACATACTTCTGATCACTATGATTATAAACATTACTGCTTCACAGTTCACAACTTCACACATCCACTAATACCAATTGTTGATCAATCATAATAATTAATTGAAGCCTATATTGGGAAATTAATACAGTTTTTATTCAAACACATTCATGCAGCAGTGTAATCACAAAGAAACCAAAAGACTGTACGTAACAAAGATATTTGTTATCAGTCTAACCTCTTAATTAATTAGAATTGATAATTAACAAAACAGTGTCTCTTTCCATAGAAATGACTGCAAAACACAAGGAGTGTCTACTCTACTTCAGGTTCTTGTTAAGGAAGAGGATCATACTCACGTTCTTGTCCTTTATACACCTACATCTTTGGGGCACTAGTTTGCCAGCCTTAGAAAAAAGCCTTTCTGAGGGAACTGATGATGTTGGGGAGCAGAGGAACATTTTCGCTTGTTCTTGGAGTTTAGGGAAAAGTACGGCATGTTTTTTCCACCATTCTAGCAGATCTTCTCTAGGAATTGGCGATTCCAAATATCTTCTCATTTCAATATAAGGCCTTGTAGACGGGTGTGTTGAAGAGACGAGTGCAATTTTTTCAACCTTGGCATCGAATTTAGCCCAGAGTGAGCTTTTCTTTGGTTGTGTTTTAACAGTTTGTGAGGAACCTGAGGACTCTGCTTGAACTGACATGCTTGTAGATGGTTCTTGAACTTCTGTTGTTTCTGTACATCGCATTCGGCGAACTAAACGCTCCTCAATTATCTTTACATTCGTAAGATCTGCAAAAGGCACTTTTTTTTAATCTAGGTCCAATAAGCTTCCTGCTCCTACAAAAAAAACTTCCTTCCCTAGTGTGAAATCTTCTTGTCATTTGCTGAATGAGTTCCACGCCAAGAGGAAAATTCTGTACAACTGATGAACTTCCTTGTCCTCGCTGGAGTGCATATACCTGTAGTCTTGTAATCCCCTAACCATAGGAAGTATTTTTGATAATGAGGTGAATTTTTCTGCCTCCTCAAATGGCTCGAGAACAACCACAGTCTTGGTTATCCGTTGCAGTTCCTCGTTATTCAGACACATGTCATTTCTTCCCATCAAGCAGAGAGTAGTGGTAATGAGCTGGCTTTGTTGTATGAAGCACTGCATCATATAGTAAGTCGAATTCCACCTTGTTTCAACTGCTTGGATAAGTTTCTTGACAGGTAGACAATGTTGTTCTTGAAGCTTACTCAATTTAGCCGATGCCTTTACATTGTGATGAAAGTAGGTGACGATCTGTTTGACTTTCTCTTGCAAATGTTTAACTTCCTCAGTGTTTTTAATGGAATCTCTTACAACCAAATTCAGTGTGTGTGTGAAACATGGTAGATGACGTAGCTTCATGATGTTGCTCACAGCTGAAGTTATATTGGCTGCATTGTCTGTAACAAAAGAGCAGACTTTGTCAAAAATGTTCCAGTTTTCACAAATGGTTGTTAATTCCTCAGCAATATTAGCTACAGTGTGTGCTTCCTGCATCCTAATTGTCTCCAGTACCACCGACTTTAATTCCCATGTCGGCGAAATGAAGTGAGCTGTTACTGTAATGAATCCTTGTGTAGTTCTAGAGGTCCATATGTCTGTGGTCAGTGAGACAGCATTTGTGTTCTCCAACTCTTTCTTTACTCTTTTAACTTCCTGGTCGTAAATGTTGGTGTAATGACCACGGTCATACACGTCAGTTAACACCAAAATCAGACGATTCATATTACGCTCAATAGCCCACAAAACATGTAGCTCTGCCTTCGTTTGAGTCCTCCATCTGAGGAGTCCGTTTTCTCATCGCTTCAAGACGCCTCCGTCCTCCGTTATCCCATTTTCTCTGCCTTACTGAAACCAACCTCTCTATAAAATGAATTTGAATGTAAGAGAGAACACCCTTGTTTTGAGTCAACTTAGATATGTCTGTTAACAATTGGAACATTCAAGATCCATTGTGAGTGGTGTTGAACGCTTCAACTGTCCTTATTGTTAGTAAAACGTGTCAAGTAAGTGAGAGTCGAGTTTGCCAGCGAGAGTGGTGTATTTTATGTCGTCCGTGGGGATATCCATGAGTTTCTGATGGCTACTGAAGTTATATTATTTTGTCGCCCAAACATCAGAGAATCTGATGTTTGTAGTTTAGTTAGTGTCAGTTGTCTATTTAAGAAAGTCATTAATCTCCTGAACAGTTCCTGTCAAACTAAAAATTCTCCAAGACTTAACAACTGTTTGGGTCTGGGTTGTGGTTTGCCGTCAGGCCAGTATAGTTGTTAGTGCGTATATAACTCCATTTTACCTCTTTCCTGACAAATTCAATCTCTGATTAGATCATAAAGATAGACGTAGAAAATTAGCCTGATCTGTGACACTGACGGTCACAGCGACCGCTATGAATAGAAGGTCTATTATTAGTAAAATTTGTCTTTCTCGTAGAGATATGCCCTCAGGCCCGTATGTATGCCGACGCGCGGGGGAGAAATAACTCCCTCTGTGATTTCTCCTCCACGTCTCCAGACGCTGTTTGAGTGTTGGCAACACCAGTGAGGTTCGAGAGCCGCCTATGGGCAAGATGGCTCTCGAAGGATGTCTTTAAGGTGGCGAGATTAGAATCCCAGGGCGAGATTCTGTGGCAGACGCCATGGTCGACCCACCGCCCCGAGTCCACCCTTCCCGGGCTGGGTGCTCATAGCTAGAGGGCGATCCTGTAAACAAATGTGCCCCGCTGACTCCGTCTGGTGATTGTAGTCCATCTATTTGCATGGCGCAGTATCGGCCCATGTTTGGGGAATAACTAGCAGAAATATAGTATCCCAGGTTAAGTATTGAACCACCGAATAAGAGTTAAAAATGCCATGTTGTTCCTTGTGAACTAACCGGAGGTATTGTATGTTGCTACAGGTGTGGAGTTTGTCCAGTGTGTTAGGTATTTATCGGTAGTGACCCTGAGATACTGACCTCAGTGAATAATGTGTAACTAAGAATTGAAGATGTGATTTGTTAGTTATAAAAGTAAGACCTGAGGGTCCACTGTTATCTTATACCTGTATAATAATTACTGAATCTCATTTGTCAGAGGAATAATATAACAATTGCCGAATGAAGTAATAAGTACTTGGAGGTGTTTAATGATATAATAAATACTTGAAGTGTTTCATGAATTAATAAGGAAATTGCGGTGCTGTTTTGTAAATGGTACAGTAAGACCTGAGGGTCCAGTCTTATCTGAGTGAAGTTAAGTAACATCTTATTCACTCACTGTGGTAATAAATATTGAATTAGTAATCTACGAGTATCACCTCTCTACTCCTTCTAAACATTGGTTCCCAGAAAATAATACTGACTCACGTGCCTATATACATCTACCACACTACCCAAAAGCTTTCCATGAGATATGTTATATTCTACCCAAAAGTCTGGTGGTGGCAGCCTACCCTTGTAAGTATAATAAGTGTACTAAGAATAACATGGTTCCCAGACTAACCCTTGTATGAGAATATAAGTAAAAACAGAGTATACTTCAGGAAGGTAAGAACATTGAAATTTAAAAATATAATATTATATATGAAAAGAAATGAAAGACTTGGAAACTATAAGCATAGAAATCTCAGAATTACTTGTATAAGAATATGAGCAAGAATATAAAGTATATATCTAAATGAAGAATTGAAGAATAATAAGAGAAAAGAATATCTGGATGGTAAAATATAAAGTAAAGAAAACGTCCCATCACAAATATTGCAGCTAAGGTGATATATATAAAGAGAAAGAAACGGCCCGTTACATTGGGAAGGTGGGTTCTTGTTCATTCTCGCCGACTAGGGAGTTCATATCGTGGATCCAATGTACTGACCAGACGTTTAAACCCTTTGTCATCCACCACTGATAACGGTTGTAGATCTTGGACGATCATTTGCATGACAATTTGGTCCAATTCTCTCTTCCTAGAAGAAGTTGCTTTGTAAGTTTTCTTCTTGTTGATTGTTTCAAGCAAAGTGGGTTGTGTCGTGGTTTGTTTTTTTGCTTGATTGTCCTGCCAGCTCCAGCACATGTCCTTCTTGCTCTTCTTGGAGCTCTGCATACTCTGTTGGATGTTTGGTGCTTATATGTTTTGTCAAGGATGAAGTGCTACCGCAGTATTTGAGGCTGTCTTTACAGAGGACACAAACGACACTTCCTGGGTCAATTTTTTTCATGAGAGTCCACACAGGGCTCGTCCTTGTTCTTTTAGAGGCCATCATAATGACCTGAAAACAAAAAACGAAAGATGATAGGAAATCGTGACTAACTGGCCAGCTTGGAAATGAATCACTTTATTCCGAGTATCCAAATCAAGTTGAATAAAATCTTCAAAGAGAGAGAGTCTCTTGGACTCTTTCGTCATAAATTTTGAACATTAAGCATAACATTCCGCATATTCATATAGTATAACTCTACACTCCAGCTAGAAAAGAGGTACTAGTGTTGCACTATGACTCAATTACATTTGCATCGAGCCATCGACACCCACCTTCTGGGCCCCTGGGGCCTCTGACATGAATGATGAAAGGACTGGCAGTGGAGTGACGACTGATGAGTCAATTCAACTCCGCGTACGTGAGGCTGGCAGAGTACACTTGCACTGCCACAGTGCCTCGTAACGATCTTCAAGAGTGAAAAGCTTTCCCATCTGGAGTACTGTCATCCCGTCTGGTCCCCGAGATATGCTAGGGACTGTTAGTTGGTTGAAAATGTTCAAAGGAGGGCCACCAGACTGGTGATGCACTTCGGCGCCTCAGCTACCCTGAGAGATTGGAGCGCCTGAACTTTAGTGTTAGTGGAATCGCTTCATGGGAACCGGTTCCCAAATTTAGAACCGATTCTGAGGTAGCTCATCAAAATCGCAGGAATCGATTCCTGCCCAGCCCTACCTTCCAGTGATCCTTGGAGTCTCATTGGACATCCAACATCATCTGCCATTTTCTCACAGGCTGTGTACCATAAAGTGAACTTTGTGTCAAAATTGGACCTTATTTCTTGAAGCCTGGCAGTTACACTTTGAACCAGTAGATAGCCTCGGTAATGTCCTGATCTCATTTTTGCAGTTTTGTTGCCAGAGATCGAAGAACTTCCAACATGCTTCTCATAGTTTGGAAAGCCACGATGTTGGTAGGAGACCTTAGGTTGAATAAGAGTCCTTGAGCCTTTAACCCTGGCATCAAAATCCCAAGACCAATCTTCGATCTGATCAACATCATCACCCTCAGTTTGATTCCTTCTGTACATCTCTGGGAATGAGGGTGGGTCAATAATGTAATCCAGAGTAAGAGCCACATAGGAGTACAGCTCTTGAAAAGTATCAAGACATATATGTCTTTCCACCCATTGTGTCTTACACAGTCCTTTTGTACTGTGCACATCATTGTCATTCCAAAAAAAAAACTTTAATTCATATTACGCTACATAACATTCAAATTCGCCGCGCTTGTAGAATATCAGAGAACGGGAAACATTGATAAAGGATAACTCACTTACTCAATGTTACTGAATCATGTGTTGTATTGTACCCAGGTACGGTTATATAATATTAATTAAGGAGAACTCAAGGTATCCATAAGATGATTGGGGAAGTCCAGGTGAGCCGGACTAGTGTACTATAGGACTAAGTGTGGAACGTGGTTTGAAGGTCATACTATTTACGTCTGTGAACGTATAGCGAACATAACTTCCACAGATAT